CCTTCCTTCCTTCCTTCCTTCCTTCCTTCCTTCCTTCCTTCCTTCTCTCTCTGGTTTGTTTTCTTGCACGTTTCATGATCCAAGTAGGTAACCTCATCAGTGCTAGAATGGAGTGAGGTTTCTTCCTCTGTTTATGTACAAGTGGCTTGCCCTGTCAGTTGTGTTGTGTTCTCAGTGATTCCTTGATTAGGTTGTTTACCGAGTCGGTTCTTTTTAATTGGGTTGTTATTTACTGCTTGGCGTTACTCTGCTTCTCTGGGTGTTCATTGCTGGCCAGGAGAAGTTTGTGGTCTTTTAGCTTTTGGATTGCCCCAGGATATTACAGGTCCTCCGTGGAAGGCAGGTTGGTAGCCGTGGTTTTTTTTCTGCAGAATCTCCTTTTCTTGGGATTAGACGAACAGACCTTTGGCCTGGGTGGAAAGATCTGACCCAGGAGCCAGGAAGTCCTGTAAGTGGACGGAGCTACTTCGTCTTCAAGAAGCATCTGCGGAGCAACAACTGAGAAATCCCAAACTCTTCAGAGGGTGGTTGGACTAGCCAGGCTCCTTGAGAAGAAGAGGTTGGGCAGTCTCTCTCTTTTCCCCAGTAGAGCCTGCGGCCCCTGAATGGGAAGGAGCCCGTGGACCTTCCAACTTTAGTGGACAAGTGGTTGACTCAAGTGTGCCAATTACTCCGAGTCCCGCCGGAGAAGGTGAGCTGCGGAGAGAGGGCGGCCTTCATGTCTTACGCCATTGCCTACCCACACAACTTCCAGGGCCTGGTGGACACTTACTGCGTCATGAGGTAAGGAAAAGGAAGGCTGAAAACACCGCCACTTTTTAGGTGGAATCTTTATTATTATTATTATTATTATTATTATTATTATTATCATCATCATCATTTTGGCAATGCATTTTTTATTTATATTTTTGTGTTCCAACATATCATTGTGGGAAGGAACAGTGCGATTCCGGAATGCCTTACCTTTTAAAACAAACACGGCAATAGTTTTCATCTTGGATACAGTTGACATTCTTACAAGGTTGTGTTCTTAATAACGCATATTTTGTTAAATGATCAATCTTGTTTATCCACTATTACGGTGTGTTATTTTTATGTCAATACCCAGATTCTTAATATCGCTCCTTTTACTACAGATCCTATATTAATTATCATATTTGCAGTGTTTTTTTTAACACATTATATAATTCTAATAACGACTCCCAAATTCATATTAATGTATTAATTTTTCCATGTATCCCCTTTTTAATTTTTAATTGTGCCACTGTTACAGTGATGGCGAACCTTTTGGTTGTGGTGTGCCGAAAGCACACGTGTGCGTGCGTGTCGGCACCCATAATGCAATGTGCCCCCCTCCCTGCACATGCTCATGCAACCCCCCCGCCCTCTTACCTGCACTGCGCATGTACACACCTCACAGTTGATTTTCGGCCCGTTTGAGGCCATTTTCGCCCTCTCGGAGGCTCGAGGGAAGCCTCTGCAGCCTTGGGAGGCCGAAAAACGGGCCCATTTCATCACTTCTGGTATTTCCGGAAGGCCCATTTTTTCAGCCACCGGAGGCTGCAGAGGCTTCCCTTGAGCCTCCGAGAGGGTGAAAATGGCCTCAAACGGGCCGAAAGTCAGCTGGGAGGCGAGCGCATGCGTAGTGCAGGAAAGTTTAGCTGGGGCTCGCGTGCCCACATAAATGGCTCTGCACGCCACCTGTGGCACTCATGCCATAGTTTTGCCATCACCGCACTATTATATGTTATGACTCCCCTTCGAAATTCAAACGAACAAAACAGAAAGCAGCCGTTTCACAATTAAATCAAATGGAAAGAAGTCTTACAAGATAACGGCTGGCAGAAACCACAGCATAAATCTTTACTCTGTCCGGCAAACCAGTCCTGGCAATAAATCTCCAGTCTCAGAGCTCCTTGCTGTAACATCCTCACTCAAATAGTCACTTTGTTCCTGGCAAAATGTACCAGCCCAGCTGTGTCCTTTTATACTCATTAGGGCAACCTGCTAATTTACTGACTTGCTCTTCTCATTCGCTCCAGCTGATTTTGCCTTTTCAACCGTCTTCTATTTTTTACATTTAACCACAAATTTTCCAAGTTCTCATCTCCACTAGAAGACTCTCTCAAAACTTCCCCGTCAGCCATTCCCAGCTGTTGATCAGATAAGGAACCAGAGGAGGTCAAAGGTCCTGACTATTCTAATACATCAGGTCTGTCGTCCTTTGTCACGTCCATCTCCTCATCCTGGTTACCAGTCCAATCACTGAGCCATGCCGGCTCATATTTTTCTGCCATGTCCTCCTCACTTGAACTCATATCAATCACAGGAGCTGAATCCAAGCCCTGAGCCACAACAATTATATTTAAAGTCACATTTTAATGTAAATAAAATAATATTCATCATATTTATGTTTAACATCTTGTGTTATTCTAGTAATGGTATAATTGCTTTTATGAAGTTGTGATCTTTCATTATCTTATGCCATATTGCGCTATATTGTTTTTGGGTCAATCAGATTCCACGTACCATTCCTTTTCTACAATAGAATGTTAATATCCACGTTTATTTTAGGTGGAATCTTAAGGGGGATGAGATTTGTGGGTGGGACTGGCCTGGTCATCCTTGGCTGCGGTCAGAAGCTAAGTAGGGAGGGGGGATGTCAGGCCTTGGAAGGGGGACCACTAAGGGATCCTGAAGACCAAAGCAACCTCTAGAAGAAGGCAAGGATGCACCATTTCTGTAAGACTCACACTCTTATCCGTGAAGTTGCCAGGCATCGGATCTAATCTGAAGATCTGGGGATGAATGAATTTGTCATAGATAATGGAATTGATAGAATTCCGTTGGACAATAACTGCTTGGGAAGTCTTCCATATACGCTCATTTGAATCTAATATTTTTAGCTCGGTTTTGAACTTGGTAGTCCTTGGCGCTCTCTGAGCTTGGTGGTTTTCTTGCAGACATTTCGTTACCCAACAAGAGAGCATCATCAGTGCTAGAAGGGAGGAGGAGGAGGAGGACTGTGGGGTCCTTGGCGCTCTCTGAGCTTGGTGGTTTTCTTGCAGACATTTCATTACCCAACAAGAGAGCATCATCAGTGCTAGAAGGGAGGAGGAGGAGGAGGACTGTGGGGTCCTTGGCGCTCTCTGAGCTTGGTGGTTTTCTTGCAGACGTTTCATTACCCAACTAAGTAGCATCATCAGGGCTAGAAGAGAGTGGGGTTTGCTCTTATTTTATGTACTAATGGCTTGCCTTCATTGGTGAGAGTATCTTATTTGAATCTTCTTTTAGACCCCTGTTGAAAAATCCCATCAGGAAAAATACTCTATAATACATGTGTGAAGTCTCTTCACTCTTTCCTCTTTTTTAAAAAGAAACTTCTCACTTAACTTTTTTACAACAATGCAGGAGGAGAACTGTGTTAATCTACCGTTAAACACAATATCAGAAAGAGTCTGGGGGTACCTTTTAAGAAATGTTACTATAGGGCAGACATCCTGTGAATAGTTTCTCCAAACAGAATAGAACAAAACAGAACAGAATAGAATAGAAAATATGGAATAGACTAGAACAGAGTAGAGTAGAGTAGAGTAGAGTAGAATAGGATAGGATAGGATAAGAACTGGAACTGTAATGGAATAGAATTCTTTATTGGCCAAGTGTGGTTGGACACACAAGGAATTTTTCTTGGTGCAAATGCTCTCAGTGCGCATCAAAGAAAAGATTCATTCGTCAAAAGTTAAGACGTATACTTTTTTTTAATTAAAAAACCATCTCGCTTAGCAACAGAAGTTTGGGGCTCCATCATGCTTCATAACTCGAGGACTAACTGTATTGAGCAAACCAAGAATGGCCTCTTCCGCGAGCCTTCAAGGCATGATCCCTTAGGAAAACCTGACTGATAACTTTGATCTTCTCAGGAGTGGCATTCCCAACTTCTGTGCCGTCGCCCTGGCGTTGAACCAGCTGGGATACCGAGCCATCGGAGTCCGGCTGGACAGCGGAGACCTGGCCAAGCAGTCGGTGGAGATCCGTCACGTCTTTCGGACCTGTAGCAAGCAGTGAGTTTCGAGGGGTTGTTGGGCTGACTCCCCCTGGATGTCAAGGATGAAACACCGGCAGCTGGGACCTCTTGGTTTCAATTTGCCCTTAGAGTAAGAGGCGGGAGGTGTTGCTTTCGATTGGATTAGAGTTGTGGGCTGTGGGCTTCTGGCCCCTCCAGCAGTCGAATCGGAGGAGGAGGAGCAGGTGGCGGCGGCATGAGAGTCAGGGCCAGCATCAAGGCAACCTGGGGAGCATATATATATGTGTGCAAAATGCCCCTCACGCATCATCACGAAATCTCTAGAACCGTAAAGCCTACAAATTTGAAATTTGGCACGTATTTTCCTCTTGGCTTCTAGGTGCTCACTAAGAAAGGATTTTTT